CTGTTCCGATGAGCCTATGCCCTCATAAAAAGGTAGAGATGATGGAGAAGCATCAGTAGCTCACTGTGGTGCACGCTATAGTCACGGTTGAAGCTGGGGAGCGCTGTGGCGGTCTAACCATGTGCGAGTCACCGGGGCGGCGGTGCTTTAGGATGGACACCCACACGTCACCACGTCTCCAGCAAGCGCCCTGGCCAAATGGCGCGAGCACCAGATAGACGAGGTCAAAGCGAGCTCGTGGATACAAACAATTGAACCCATTCGGACCTTACTCCAATTTTACTGGCACGGCGGCGCATGTGGCCAGTGGTGAGAAAACGCCAAATTGGTGGCCAGTAGTGCTCGGTTGCGCCAAAGTGAGGGTCGGGCTGCTAGCAAGCCTCCAATCCTAGCTGCTGGAGCACTGAATCAAGGCGGGGTATCATGAACCGTGCGTATAAGCTTGCGAGGCGGCGTGGCTTCATTGGCGGCAAGGCGGACGGGGCAGCGGCCTCAAGGCTCGGACAACCTCGACCAAGGCTGCGTTAAATGAGCGGGAGCTTCCGCTTGGTGACACTTAGAGGGAGCATGCCGTGGGGTGCTGAGATGGGACCGCTCGGTCTTGGCAGGATGCGGACGGCGACAGTGGAACAACAGTCGCACAGGAAAAGCATTGACACCACAACAAGGGTAGCAATGCGATAGAACAGTGGATGACTCAGTGGTAGGTGGATCTAGCAGCGAGACGGGTGCCACATCAGTCAAGCGATGGTTGTCGTGGCATAAGCTTGGCCCGCGCACGGCCTGGCCGGCAGCGCGCATGCGACGGCCACACCACAGCAGCCCTGCGGCGCAGTCCGGGCCCACGGAGGCGGCCGAGACCAAACTCAACCCGACGCGTGGCCGATAGCCCGCAAAGCCAGCCACGGGCATGACCATGGCCAAGAATGCCTAGGTAGCGACAGCGCGAGTGCGGTGACTGTAGACACGAGCCACGCAACGATGAGTGGTGACGTGCATGAATTTTGAAGCGCGGCAAAAACTGCTAACGATCACGATCGAGGTTCAACTAATTCCCCTAACCTAAAGTCGATACTAACACCCAACTGACAAAGCAAACCTCACGCCCAGAGAGCGACCAGAGAGGGAGATAGAGAGGTGCCAACATGAGTTTATCACGCTGAACGCTGGTTCATGAACTGGGCACCAAATCATGGTTCACATCATGTTCTAAGGTTTGTGCAATTTTTATGAGACCAACGTGACATCCCACACAACTTCGACCTACACCATACTCATGTACTCACTTTGATGCAACCAACAATACCAAAACATGTAGCTAGTGTTTAAACATTTTAGCTAGAATTTAAATGTCAAAATAACATTGTCTTACTACTTTTCCATACTTAGAAAAGTTAAGGATTTCAGTTGGGGCTAAGTAACCATTGACTCTTTTGTCGCAATTTTTAATAGGTCCAAACCTTATCAACTTCAACCAACAAATACTTCATGCAATAGTCCATACCTTATACTAACCCATAGAAGCAAAATATTTAAGCACCATTTAACTATTTTGCTCAATATATTTCGCCAAAAATAGTATTTTAACAATAGTTCAAGTGTTTGCCGACTTAACGAAAGAGCTTATCTTAATGTCAAATTTGATTTTTGAGCTCCCAAGAGCACTAGTTAACACTATTTATTTTGATTTTTCTCAACCACAAAAGTGAGTCACATAGGATTCGCTTATCATTTCACGTGCGTTATATATTTTTAAAACCCAAAAACTTGTTTGGCTAATTTCTCTTGGACCTAAATCTTGGTGCTAAGTAAGCTTGTAACACCAGGGGTGTTACACATTTCTAACGATTCTATCCATTGATCAAATCCAATGAATCTTATAATGAATATTAGAGACTCTAAACAATTTCAAATGAAAAAAGTTTAAACTGAAAAGTTTTATATCTCGCCCGAGTACTACAACTTTGGTTTAGGTTGTATCTCCATCTCAGGTCGTTTAAAAAAATTCAAAAAATGAATTTCAAAACTTTGAGAACTTAAAACATAATTTTTAGATTCTAAATAATTTCAAATGAAAAAGTCATCAACTACAAAGTTGTATATCTCTTCAGACTCTACAACTTTGATATAATTAAACTTTGCATTCATTGATATTAGTATGTTGCATGCTAGCTTTAAAACTAACTAGACATCTCTAGCTAAGTGCCAATGCATAACAACATAAAAATGTACCTTTTGTTGTATCAATGTACCAAGAAAAATTGTATTTCATTTCACAAACATGTCAATGGAGCATTTGTCTCTATAAAATGCAATGTATAACTAACAAGAATTCAATGAGTCCATTATATTGGTGGTTAAGAGGAATGACAATAAAAATGAACATTTTTCCTTGGCAGCTACGATAATTTACTTGAGGGTTTGCACCAAGAAAACTAGCACTTCCTTGGCGGTTTTCAGTTACACCCAAGAAAATGTGAATTACCTCGGCAGTTTGTTAATAACACTCAAGAAATACATAAATTACTTTGGCGGTTTTGAATAGCACCCAAGGAAACGAGGAAATACCTTAGCAAATTGTAATAACACTCAAGAAAATGTGAAACTACTTGGCAGTTGGAACTTGCACTCATGGAAATGTTGAATTACCTTGGCGGTCTGGGTTAGCACTAAAAAAATATGCATTTTCTTTGAGGTTTCATTCAATCTCCGAGATAATGATATATCTTTGAGGGGTGAAAACCCACCAAGGATATTCTATTTTTTGGTAGTGTTTTTTTTTTGGATGGATGAAGAAAACTTTGTACGCAGTTTTTTAAGCATCTTTCCCATCATCGTACTCGATTTGTCCTTCTTGGAGACTGAGATTTGTGATCTACTTTCAGTCCTCTTTAGTAGTAGAAGAAAAAGGAAATTTGCAACTATATTGATTCCACCGATTGAAGTGGCAGGAAGTACATTCCACCATTTTAATTGGCGGGATTTTGATTACCACCATTTGAATTGGCGGAATTTTTTTTTTTTTGCCAGCTGATCTTAAAAACTTATAATTTTTATATATGAATTTAGATGGAGACAAAATTTATATGAAAACTGTAGAGAAAAATGAGATCGAGAACTTTGTAGTTTAAGGTCTTTTCATTTGAGATCATTTTAATACCTCAATAATTGATACGATATTTATATTTTAATTTGTATATTTGAATAGTAAATTGATTATTTAGGTACCAACATGTCTTTATTAAACAAAAGTATTGTAAACTTCAAAATTATAGGTCCCTTTGGTATCTACAGATTTTTTATAAATGTTATCCATGTATAAGGTTATATGAAAAGATATGGTTTTTCTAAAATATGTTGCACTAGCTAGTTGATGAATCGAGACAATTTCTTCACACCCGTACATAGCACATCTTCAAACAATTGTAACTTTTTCATTTAGTCACATATGAAAATAAAATTTTTAAACCTTTCAAAAAATAAAAATTTTAACGACGAAAAATCTACAACCTTTTGGTTCACAACATTTTCATTTGAAACCATCTTGGTGCTAAAATAATCGATATAATGTTTAGATCAGCAAATACAGATCTAAACATTGTATCCATTATTTACGTATCAAAAAGGCCTCAAATAAGAAAAGCTTTAAACTATAGAGTTCTAGATCTCTTTTTCTATATAATTTTCATATAAATTTTTTCTTCATCCGAGTCTGTCTATATATAAAAGTGGTAATGACTTCATATTTTTGCCAAAAAAACGAACTTCATAAAAATATATATAAAAGTAAAAAAAATCAGAACTCGGCAGTGATGACATCCAGACCAGTCGGCCCGTTGCAGCATTTAGGCTCGCTTGATCTGGGCTTGAAGCCTCTGTGCAGCCCATCGATTACGTGGCAGTTGCGGCCCAATCCGGCTGCGTGCCTATGTACGTCGCGGATCGCCAACGGATGGGCTTTCCCTCTCTCGTCGCATCTGGTCCTCTGGCGCGCGCGCGCTGCGGCTGGAGCGTCGCCGTCCGGCCGGAGACCGCTCGCCTCTCGCCGTCGCACTTCCCAGGTGTGTCACTCGTGAATGGTCGCGGCCACGGGCGGGGCGTACGTGCGCGCGTCGACTTCACTCCACGTCTCCACATCAGGCGCGGTCGGTCGCTGCGACTGGGAGCCGCGCGGAATGCGGCCAGCGCCAGTGTCGGCGCGAGCTGGTTTTTCAGGCTCATAATACGAATGGCGCTGGACGCCCTCGTCCTCTGATTGCCGATCCGTCTGTTGATAATAATACGTAGCCTCTGGATTTTATTTGCCCCCTTTTGCTACACATACAACAGCGCGATGGATCCCGACGTGACGCGCGGCCAAACTATGCCATCATCATGCCCGACCTTCGCACGCAGACGCAGGAGTGTAGTTGATAGTCGGTGCTGGGTCGCTCTCCGCGCTCTCCAATCCTACTGTTTCTTCCCTTTCAATTCAACGAGTCGTTTAATTGTACGGGCCTTAGGAAACGGTCAGCCGGCACACGTACGCACCTGCTTCTATCTCGTGCTCCGAACTGCCGTCTCGTCCGTAAGGGGACATGGCCATGTTACGCACAGCTCAATGGAACGCACAAAATAATAAAGAGGAGACGATATCGTATCAAGTACAGTAACGACTAGTGGGATCAATTGCACACTTGATTGAGTGGAAATTTACTCTATATATGGTACGCACTTCAAATTTTGAGATTTGGGTGCGCGCATAAAAAAATTAAATATGGTAATATAGCAAATCTATGACACATGTATAGCTAGATAGAGTATAGCTTATTAACTTATTCTGCACAGGTTCGGAAAGGGCAAATATATAACAACATCATTTGCTACAAGAAGATTACTTGCTCGATAGCTACTACGCGTAATCGCGAGCGAGCGAGCGACGTTGATCCTCATCGTACTAGCTAGTAGTACGATTGTACGAACGCTCGCCCGCCCGCCCGCCCGCCGTCGTCGTCACAACTTCACACGTCGACAGTGCAGTCAGCCGGGTGCGTGAACTTGAGCGAGACGGTGGTGTTGACGCCAGCGGGGACCCCGACCCCCGACGCGGCGCTGGCGGCGAACGCGCCGCCGGCGAAGGCGCTGCCGCTGGTGGCGAGCATCGCGGGGCAGTTGACGAAGAGGTGGTAGCCGCCGGAGACCCAGCTGCCGACCTTCCACTTGACGCGGCCCTCCACCTTGACGTGGAGCAGCACGTAGCCCGCCGCGATGTCCTGCTTCATGGCGTTCGCCACGTACTGCGCCACGGGCACGGCGTCGCCCGACATCACGGGGGACCACACCGACACGTCCTTGTGGCCCTGGTAGATCGACGGCATCGACACCGGCACCGTCACCGGCTCGTCGCGGTACGTCGTGAACGCGTCCAGCGTCTTGTAGTACACGCCCACACGCTCGTTCGGGTTCCGCGACGCGATCGTCACCTGCGTCGTCGTCGTGGTGCCGGCCGCGCCGGCAGCCCGGCAGGTACCGTGCGTTAGTTCGTCCTCCGGCCGTCACGAAATCGGCCGGGGGTGGCCAAATGCATGCATCAGACTAGCTAGCTAACACGCTGTGCGTACCTGGAGGTCGAGGGAGAGCGTCGGGTCGCTGAGGTCGATGGACCGGAGCTGCACGTCCTGGAGGTAGAAGGACGGCTTGGAGGGGCGCAGCGCCAGGTAGATGACGAGTATGATGAAGCCGACCACGGCGAAGAGCGTGAGGATGCAGGCGGCGATGGCGCCGCAGCAGCGGCGGAGGATCCAGTCGCGGTGGTGCTTCTCCTTGCCCATGGCGAGACGAGACCGACGACCTGCTGTCCTGCTGCGGTGCTGCTGGACTGGGACTGGAAGCTCAGCTGGCTGGCTGCTAGTTGCTACTAGGGAGCTTAGGACTGTGCGCGCATGTGGGCAGTGGGAAGCTAAAGTGTGGCGCGAGTGGGGGGGTGGCCTTTTAACTACTCCAGCCGGTACACTAAACTAGTAGAAGATGAGGTATGGTGAGGTGCGCGTTTTAAAAAGGGGCTTTTGTTTTGGGCTTACAGGGCAGGGGATGGACGAAAGCTACAGCTCAACCATCGAAGATTCTTCTGCTTCTTCCCGGGCCCCTCTGAGCATGGAGGTTGCCTATCGGCTAGTGCATCTGCTCTGAGATCCGTGCTGGACCGGTGGTTAGCCCTGTCCGGTGAGTCGACCACTGCTGCTGCTTGAGCTTTCACTCCACCTTCTGTTGGTCAACTGAACTGGGGACGATTCTTGCATCGAGACCCTTTTTGCATATGCACATCGAGGTTACAGGTTGACTCTCGGCCGTACGTTCCTGTGCCATTGACCAATGTTGCCGAAATACTCCTGCTTCGTCACATAATTCATATGCAAATGCGTATATAAGACTAGCGTCATATTCGTTTAGTTTATAAGTCATATTTTTGATCAACGAACAATATTTTTCTCTCACAACAAATCAACCAACAGTACTTCCAGTCACGACTTATCAACCAAACGAACCGAACGAACAGGGGCATAGACTTTCTACGGCTGACCCGTCCCCATTTCACGCGATGAACAACTCCAATGTGTGGTAATCGAGACTGGCTACACCAAGCCTGCATGGAGATGGGCGCTGGTTGCCGTACGCGCGAGAGATGCATGATTTCTTTCGCGTGTACCAATGTCCTCACCACCCTTCTGATTTCTCGCACCCATCTCCAGCGCCGGAGGGCCAAGAGCTGCGCGGCGCCGGAGCGCGGAGGGGCGTCGGTGCACGCGCCCCCTTGTGCCGTACTGCCGTCGCGTCGTGCGCACTAGGGCGGCCGATGGATGATCGATCGCGGATTATTGCCCGGCACGCTCCGGCCCGTGCGGTGGATCGGAGTCGGGAACTCGGGAAATTGAGGGGGTTGGTGCTTGCTTGCGTCGTCGACGGTTGCTACGTCGTGTCATGCGGTGGTGCCACGCGCGCCGCTCGGCGGCTGAGCCGCATCTATCAGGTGCGCAACCAAACAAGGGAGGCGCATGGTGTCCTGTGCTCGCTCGGCCCTCCGTTCCTTATCCCACTCCCACCGACTGCCATGTGCCCTATGCCCTATGCCGCGCACCATCGAGCACCAGCACGCATGTATGCCTGTCCCCTAGCTACAATAATCACTCGATTTGCCTGCATCGAGCTATCACTAGCGTCATAAACCAACACAGCGTTAACTCTAATCAGAATGGAGATCACATTGTGGTTGTGGTGAACAGAATAGTAAATCAAGGGAGGTTGAATCACTCCTGTTGGTGGATAGTTAACGTTGTGGCACGTACATTCAAAAGCTTGGGAATTCTTCTTTTACCAAAAGCTTGGGATCACACAACAAGGGCTGTGGAAAAGGGCTTTCGGATCGTTTCATTTTCGTCCATTCCTATGTGTAGTGTCTCCGTGAGTCAGCATGACTTGTCAAAGCCAGTCTCTTTTGCATTACAAGAAAAGAGAGGATCTGTTGGGTAAATCAGCGCCGGGAAAAAAAAGACCCTTGTAAGTTCTATTCTATCTCCTCCTCAGTAGTCAGAACTCAGAAGTGGGGGCAAAAGGAGGCAGCCTGCGGCTCCTCTTTATAATGACTTAGCCAGGAAATAAAATGAACCGGGGAGAGTCGAAACCACACCGCACCACACTGTTTTTGCGGAATTTCATCTGATTTGTCAACTAGTGATGATTGATTTCCGGAACACCAGCTTTCAGGCACGAAATAATTCAGAACAAAATAATTAAATAAATTAAATACAACAAGGCAGGAGCAGGATGCATCATCATCATATATACATGCCACCTACCCTGCACTGCATCCAGGACCATAGAAAGAAGATACGTACATCAGATTCAGGACCATTAGAAGCTTGTAAGTACAGAGCCAAGTAGCCAGACGATTCCTGCCACTCTTCTGCACATCTTTTATACGTACGGGCGGGCTTAATCGCACGCCTGTGTTTGTGCGGCGCCTTTGTGATGGGGTCTGTCACCTACCGTCCCATCTCTTTTGTTCTGTTTGGTAAGCAGAGCTAGCATAGCAAATAGCATTAGCCGGCCAAGAATCTCCCTCTGGCTGATGGAGTGTGGCAGGCATTTTACGGTTGGTAGCGGAAAGCGCAGGGAATTATTTGCGCCATTTTACGGTTGGTGGCGCAAAGACGTAGCGAATTATTTTGATGGATGGACCTCAAGGGCAAGGCCCTTTCCTCGATGGCTCCATTATCTTGAGCGGGGAGGGTGAGGTTGGGCCACCATACCATGTGTTTTGTAAACTAATCTAATCATGTACTAGTTCAGGACTAGTTGTTTTTTGGTTTATATAAGTTCAGGACCAGTTGGACTAGGCTTCTCGCTGTGAATTGAGAATTTGAGATGCGAGGTGGATGGTGTTGCCGTGTTGGTATTTCGAGTGTCTACGCTATCGTAGCAGTGGCAGGCAGAGATTTCTTTTGAGAGGGTGGATAGGGAGTGAGAGAGACATTTTACCTTTTGGATTTGCTACCGCTCGGGTCCTAGCCTCGGGCGGTACCCACTCAACGAGCGAGCGAGCATTCCAGCGTGTCGGGCTTGCGAGCGAGTGCCCTAGTAGCGGGTCCGCACCGCCGGCCGCTTCCCACGCCATTCCATGAGCAACACCCGATCTACTTTTGAAGCATCCACATACAACAGTTGCAAATGCAACATACAAAAAGAAGACAGATGAAACACTTGAAACATGCATATGAAACACTTGCAAAAATACATGAAAACTATTGCAAACATATGCAACATCCAGATAAAACACTTGCAACAGACGTATCAAACACCTGAAACACTTGAAACATAGGCTTGCAACATGCAAGTATATGCAACGTCCAGATCTACTTTTGCAACATCCAAATAAAAACACTTGCAACATATGTCTGACACAGATGAAACATTTTGAACATACACTTGAAACATACGTGCAGAGCGATTGCAACATGTGTAACATCCCGATCTACTTTTGCAACACCTATACGAGATATTTGCAACATACCTTTGAAACACCTTAAATATATGTTTGCAACATGCGCTTTCAGAGCAATATCTTCTTGCTGCTTGGAAATGGAGGCTCGTCGGCATGTGGAGTTCACAGGTATAGAGCTCGCCGCTCCGATGGAGATGGTCGTGACAGGTCCGGTGGAGAAGGTCGTGACAGGTCCAGGGAGAAGGCCGTGACGGATCTAGCGCGAGCTGCCACCGCTCCGGTGGAGAAGGCCGTCCGCGCGCAGGAGAAAATTGCGGCAGACGTGAGGCACGACGGAGATGGAGGAAGGTGGGCGGCCGCGGCGAGCTGGAGGCGCGATGGAGATGGAGGAAGGCGGAGGCTGCGCTCGGCCACGGTGGAAATGTTGGCTGGTGGGCACTCGGATGGCGCGAAGAACGCCAAGGTGGTGCAACTAATTGTGGTCACGGCACTGCAAAACGGAAGCGTCCAAGTGTTGGAAGCTTTCTGAAGAGCGAAGTGTCTGAGTGTTGGAGAGGATACGAGCTTTGGGCCGTTGGGCTGGTGTCGTGGCTCATGAACGGGAGCGTCCAGACGATCGGATGCCCTCAGCACAGTATTTACGTTTACTTTTTTTTTTGGCAATCCGGTAGAGAGAAAGCGGTGTAGAAGCCCAGCCAATTGTGATGGTGAAGAACCAGAAATGAGGCCCATGTTTAGAGCAAAAGGAGCACACAGGCCAAGCAGGCCAACCTCAGCAGCAGCCTAGCGGCAAGTAGCACAAGATGGGCTCGCCTCCACAACCGTGGGCCCGGCCGCCACTCTTTGCTGCCAGCAGAACGACGGTGCCGCCATCGCGTTTCTTCTCCAGTTCTGCTCGTTGAGTGCATGCCTGGCATACGACTTCTTTCCTTTTTTTATAAGAAAGACGCTTGCTAGTTTCTTTTTCTTTTTTTTTTTTGAAAAGACGCTTGCAACTAGTAGTTGTCTGTGTGACTTGCCTGACGGAGTCGCCCAGACAGACAAACATGACCACGAGCCCACGACCCATGACAAAAGGATGATCCAATTCAGAAACTTGTGCAGATGAAAATTCTCATCATAATTAATACTCTACATAATTAATACTACAGCCCCGGTTGTTTGGACGGGCCGTCCCTCCGGACGTCTGGGCGCTAGCAGTGCCGCACGAGAAAAGGATAATCCAATTCAGAAACTTCTACAGATGAAAATTCTCATCATAACAAATACATACAGAAATGAAGAAAATGTGCTCGCTTTCATATCCTCCTCAAAAAGAAAAGAAAAGAAAACTATAAGGAAAAGGCCAAATGAGCAAGACAACACACAACAGGCAAGCCTCAAACCTAGGCGGCTCGGCACCCGGCTGTTAGATTGATCTCTTACCTAACTGGACCCAACGGCCCAGTTGGGCCTTTGATTCGTGCCCTGATCGGGGGCGCCCAGCCCACCATGGCTGGAGGACCCCTGTCACCCTGCGCTATAAAAAGAGGTGGGGCCGGCGGCTCTTATCACGAGGTTGACCTGAGCCGACCTCCCCACCGACACTCAAACCCTAATCCAATCAAGAGGGGCGCAGCCAGTGACGGGAAGCCACCAGCCGCGCCGCCCCGCTCCGACGACGGCAACTACACCGACATCTTCCCCGACCATCGCTGCCCGTGCGCAGACTGCATCGACGAACCTGATGGAGGCCACTAGATCTTCCACCCCTGCGGTCTCAGGTTCGAACCTCTATCTCTCTGTCTAGATGTACTAGGGCTTGTTAGGATCTACTGCTTCACCTTTTATACC